GGGGGGACATAAACCTAACCCCTCATAGAACAAGAGAAAAGAAATACAAAAGAAAAAGGGGGGGACATGCACCTTACCCCTTTTGAGAAAGGAAATGCCGGAAAAAGAGGGGGGGACATAGACCGTACCCCTCTTGGAAAAGAAAATACAAGGAAAAGACTAGGCGGACATAAGCCCAAACCCCTCTATAAACCTTAAAAGGTAATAAGCTGCAAAACAAACTGCAAAACAAAAGGGAATCCAAAAAGGTTAGGAAAAGAAAGGAGAAGACACATCAAGAAGAGGAGACAAACCTGTAGGTTGGCATGCCCAAGAAATCTGAGTGCAGAGGAGGGAGGATCTCAATTGGGGGAGTGGAATGCCAGACAAGTGAAGATGAAAGAAGCCCTAAATTGGCTAATTTGTCAGCAACAACATTCCCTTCTCGAAAAATATGAGAGCAACGAAAAACCATGTTCTGCAAATGGAGAGTACAATTGTTCCAGCGTGTCTGGAGCGACCAAGGGGGAGAGAAAGATCCAGAAGCAAAACATGATATTACACTCGAAGAGTCGCTTTCAAGCCATAAATTTTGCCAGCCCCGCGCGTGAGCCAATTCGACAGCATGGAGCTCCGCATAGAAAGAAGTACGATGGCCCAAGCTTAGGGAGAAACCACCAAGAAAATAACCCGCAGAATCTCGAAAAACCCCGCCACATGCCGCAGGACCCGGATTACCTTTAGCAAGGCCATCAGTATTCACTTTGACCCAAGAAAAAGGAAGGGGGTGCCAAAGAACAGGGACAATAGAAGGAGCTTTACAGGGGTTAGGCGATATTCCAAGAGAGACTAAAAGTTGCCGGTCCAAAATGCCTCGTACATGGCCAGGGGTGAGAGCTTCAACCTGCCTAATCCAGGCCGAGGTGGAGCGGCAGAGACGTGAGAAGGAGGGAGGTTTGCCTTCAAACTTCACTTTATTACGCATCTTCCAAATAGCCATGAGTAAGAAAAACCCTGAAGCTAGCCAGACATTGCGAAGATGTGGAGAAAACCGCTTTGACAGAAAATCAAGCCATAGATCAGAGATGGAGCCCGTAGGTGGAATAATAGTGCCAAATTGGGTAGCTAGCCAACGCCAAGCACATTGTGCAAAGTCACAGCTAGAAAATAAGTGGTCAATGGATTCAGAATTCTTGTGACATAGTTGGCATATTGGAGCCAGCGAGATGCCTCGGCGCTGAAGTTGATCCTCCGTTGGGAGCTTGTTGAATAGAATCTTCCAAACTAAAATAGAGTAACGAGGTGGGATGAAAGGACGCCAGATAATGGAAGCCCAACTCTTGACAGGAAACCGATGACGAACAATTTCATAGCCATCGGAAAACGAAAAACCACCAGAAGTAGAAGCTTCCCAAATTAAAACGTCCTTATCCTCATCAATTGGAAGAGGCATTTCTAAAATCTCTTTAGTTAGGTCTGGGAAGGTAGAAGAAAAAATAGAAGGAATAACCCATTGTCCCATACGAATAATATTTGAGACCTTAGTACGAGAAAGAGAAGGGGCAATCTATGTTGCACCAACGACGTCCACAATAGGCTTATCCAACCATTTATCAACCCAAAGGGAAGTAGTAGAACCATTGCCAATCACCCAACGGCAATTCTGAAACAAGATATGAAGAATGGATTTAATACCAGGCCATATAGAAGATCGCTTATAACTACAAGAGTATAGGCGACCATGTAGCTTGAAACGTTTCCGAATATAAATACTCCAAGGGGAATCAGTAGTAATAATAAGCCATCCAAGCTTTAAGAGAGCTGTAATGTTAAGAGAGCCAAGATCACGCAAACCCAAACCACCTTCATTCTTCGGAGCACATATCTGATGCCAAGAAACGGTAACCAACTTCTTGGAGGTTACGTCACCAGACCATATAAAATTGCGAGCACATCGTGAAAGAGACCTTAGCAAGGAAGAAGGCCACTTATAAACAGAAAAGCTATGCAAGAGCATACTTTGAAAAACTGATTGAGTGAGTTGAACTCTTCCTGCCATAGATAAAAGTTTCCCCTTCCAACCAGTTAACTTAGCTTTAGCTTTATCTGCCAAGGCTTGAAGATGACTCCTTTTAGGCTTGCCACAAAAGATTGGAACTCCAAGGTAGACAAAAGGTGCTTTGCCTTCTTTGAAACCCAAGTAACTCTCAACCACAGCTTTGCGATGCCTTGAGGTAGAGCCCAAGTAGAAAGTACTTTTTGCCTTATTGATAAATTGACCAGAGGCTCTACTATATCTATTGAAGAAACCTTGCAAGTTACGCAGGGTGACACCATCACTTCTACAGAAAATGAATAAGTCATCTGCATAGAGAACGTGAGAATGAGAGATACAACCTCTTGGAGCAAAAGTTGGCTTAGTAAGCCCATCAAGTTGAAGACGACTCAGGCCCCTTGATAAAGCCTCCTCAGCTAGACAGAAAAGTAACGGAGAGAGAGGATCCCCTTGGCGCACTCCTCGGGAACAAGAGAAAAAAAACCATGCGGGGAACCATTGATTAGGATGGACAATTTAGCAGATCTTAAGATGGTAGAAACCCAGTCTATAAAACAAGTGGAGAACCCAAAGTTAGTAAGCACCCGCAATAGAAATGACCAATCTAAAGTATCAAAAGCCTTAGCTATATCAACTTTGACTCCCATATTGCCACCACGAGTTTTTTTGTCAAGCACATTGAAACATTCTGAAACTAGGCCAATACAATCTGTGATACGTCGGCCAGGTATGAAAGCAGCTTGATGTGGAGAAATAATGCGTTGAACAACATGAGAAAGGCGAACTGCCAAAATTTTGGGAATAATCTTAAAGAGAAAGTTTGCCAAAGCAATAGGTCTAAAATGAGTCATGGAAATAGCGTCTTCCACCTTCGGTATCAAAACTAAGAAGTTACTATTGGTATTGGGGTATAGCCAATTTGATTGAAAGAATTGCTTCACAAATTGAATAACATCAAAGCTGACAATATCCCAACAGTGATGATAGAAAAAATCTGGAAAACCATCTGGCCCTGGCGCACTGGAAGCACTTAATGAGAAAACTGCCTCTTTAATTTCCTCATCAGTAGGTAATGCAGATAAGAGATCATTTTCAGAGTCTGTGACCATCGGCTGGATGACCTCACAAACCTCATCAATACCTGAAGGGTTGAAAGAAGAGCCGAACAAAGTCTGATAGAAATTAACAATATGGTTCTCAATAGCCAGCGGGTCGGTAAGAAGATTGTTTCCATCAAGAATACAACTGATATGAGAGCTGGATGATTTAATACGAGCATATGCATGAAAGAAAGAAGAATTTCTATCCCCTTTAGTTAACCACTTAACACGAGCTCTATCTTTCCAAAATGCCTCTTGCATTTGAAGAGACTCCATTACTGTAGTCTTGGCGACAATCTCCTCCTCGAAAAGATCATTATGTATACCCTCAGTTGAAATTCTTTGTTGAATCATAGAAAGATTATGCCGAGCATTAGCCACTCTATTATGAACATCACCAAAAACCGAAAAATTCCATTGGCGCAAGCAGGTTTTTAGAGCTTTCAATTTTTGCAGAATGATAAACATAGGACAGCCATAGACAACTGTATTTCTCCAGCAATGAGTTACAGTTTCTCGAAAAGATGGATGTTGAACCCACATTGATTGAAAACGGAAAGGACGATGACCATTGCGCAAAACTCAAATTCAAATAACAAAATAATCCTAAATTCCAACATAACTACCTGCTATTCTTTTTCCAAATCCGCAAAAAACTACAAACCAAACCAAATTATTGGATCCGACTATCTTAAAAAGCTATTGGTTAAGCTTGCATGTTTCCGAAGGAATGATATATAAATCCAAACTCAACAGCATTATTTCTTCGTCAGGAAGCAATGAGATTACAAGTGATTTTTTATTTTTTTTTTACATTTTTTCAGTGATAATTCTCGACACTGAATCCGCAGTGCAAGAGTCGAGCGACATTTTATCCAAGTCGAGAGATCCCATATATTGGATTTTGGGACGGAAGAGTGATTGATACTTTGCGTAGAGAAAGAGAGAAAATGTGAAAATGAAAATTGAAATCTGAAATTGATTTTAGGGAGTCCTGATTTTAAAATGTTTTTTTTTTCTCTTTGAATATCAGTTTTCTTCTGAAAAAAATAAAAAAATAATTGTTGTAATTAATATTTATTAGCATTTTCCTACACACTTTGTGTGTATAAACACATTTTTTTAGAAAATGAGAATGATAGAGGAAGAGAGAGAGAACGTGGGGGAGTGGAATGTTTTTGTTTTTGGGTTTTTTTATATTTTTATTTTTTTATGAATATTGGAAGTATTTTAACATCACCTGTAGGTGATACTTAATAAAAAATAGTAAAATTTGAACTTGTGAAATTACATTATTGCCCATCATTTTTTTGTGTGAAAGAAGACTAATTTGTCTTTTCACCCTCTTTTGGTTGACAAAAAAGGTTTTATTAATTAGTAGAGATTATGAGGTTGTTCACTTTAGAGTCAACTAGAAAATAAGCCCGCGCGTTGCGGCAGGAACCACTGTTTCAACCGTAACTGCATGAATAAGACACATTTAACCTGAATAAATTCAACACAATCATGAATAAACAGAGGGACACATGAGTGAATGAGGTCGATAACATAAGCAGCTTGGCTTTTATATACATTCAACTGAGCTAACATGTAAAGACATTGCACAATTAATAGGAAGAAACCTAACGTTCTTGATCACAAAGACATGGTTGCCAAAAAAGTTCTATTTCCATAAGAAACAGAAGAAACTGATGGCAAAATATGTGTCCTGCAGGGCAGGCACCTATTTCAGCAATTGATAAAAAAACATTGAACACTACTTGTTCAAGTAGATAATTTTCCAAGCACAAATGTTCAAAGCCAAAAATATGCAGAAGTCCTGTTTCCATATGAAACAGAAGCAACATGCAGTTCACACATTTTTCCTTTGTTATATTATGTATTAAGGAGAATCAAACTGTATCCCCCAACACTAAATTTGTTGGAGTCACAATCCCCTTGCAAGGGTTGTAAAACTCAAAAGCTTATTGTCCAAAACGAAAACAATTTGTACCATTTACATGCATGTGCAACATATGCCTTACACTGGAAAAACGTCTAAAATCAAATACAAAGTTGTAAATCACGTACAGATTTGTTTTACATTTTTATAATCAAGTAGCAAGTAAAATTACAAACTTTCAGCAACCTGAGAGCATGAATTAAGATGCAGAGATATCCCGAAACATACAACATACTGTATGGAAGCTTACCATAACCGTTAAATTTATTTACAATGAAAGATGTTTTAGCTTTTTTAAAGAAGTTTTACATGAAAAGTATAAAATAGGTGAATCAGGCTCTTGGAGGTCTTTGAACCACTTTATGAGCCTAAATGGTACAATTGAAAATGAAGAGTGTAATCAAACTTCATGAGCCTAATTGAAACAAATTAAAGACCAGATTGAAAATGCATTAAAAGCTAAGAATATGCTTTATAAAGGCATTGAACTCTGCATTTACCTGCACAGTTTCAAGTTGCCTAAGAAAATGCCTGGTATATTCTGGCACTTGAGTAATCACCTCTGTACATCGGTGTTCGCTTGCCTAACAGAAATGAAATAAATTGCAAAATATTTGGAATATTGGTGTATAAAACGTAATTTTCAAATTAGATCCAAGCTAATTAAAATGCCAATCCCTTTCAAGTAAGCTTGGGAGCCACTGATATTATATTCCGTAGCCGGTCATTGATCATGCACAAAGAAATAACGCATGTCATTTAAGCCTTTGCACAAACACAGAGAAGAGGAAAAATTTGTCTTCTTTTAAAACAAATCATCTCCCTGTACAAACACACAGAGAAGAGGGTAAATTTGTCCTCTTCTAAAACAATTAGACTCCCTGAACGAACACACAGAGAAGAGGATAAATTTGCTGTCCTTCAAAACAAATTTTTCGAGGGCACAAAAAAAATGACCTCCCTTTTCTACCGCTTTGATAAGAAAAAAAAAATCACACATTCATACACATATGAATCCAACCATGCATTTTAAACAAATGCCAAGACATAGATGACTGTAGAGGTTTTTTTGCCAGTGACCAAATAAAAAAGTAAGATCAATAGTGACCATAAGTAGTCTGAATAGAGTCATGGCTAGATTAATATCAGAGCATTGTGTCATTTGCAACGACATATATACTTCTTAAAGAAGATTTATTTATTCTGTAATAAGGTGAAGGGGAAGCTACTTTGAGCATATCAACTCATCCATGGCAAAGCCGCTGCATAAATGAAAGAAAAGAAGAGAAGCTTTTTATTTTTAGCTAAAATAAATTGGTATCTCAGGTTGAATAAGTCCCAAAGAATTAAGTGAGAGTGAGTTTATGTGTGGAGCTAAAGCTTTGTGTATATAACCAGACCTCTCTTCCTCTCCCTTTCACTACTCATGGTGTATATTATCTGACTAATCTGTCTGTCTCCTCATAATTATCAAGAGGCAACGTGTATATAATACATCACACGTATCATCTTTTTGACAGTTTGTGTTTCAAATGAATTGAAAGGTATTGTATGAGAATATCTTGCCTAAATGAAATGAAACAAATTTCAGGGTGATGAACTATTGGTCACTATACACCTATCTTGTAAGTTCCATTAAATTTTCATCATCACCCCTCCTCAGTACCATGGCAAGAAACTCCATAACCTGTATCCTCTTTTAGAAACACTTGGGAGGAAGCCCTAGTGAACACTAAGAGAGTTTGGAGAAAAATTATTAATATTACTTGACAAAGTAAGAATCTTGATTCATCCATGATCCATTCGATAACTAAACTCATACAAAAAAACATAAAACCCCAGAAAAAACAATAATCTACGGATATCTAAAATGCAAGCATATAATATAACAAATGGATTTCTCAATCGAACTCATATGCTTCGGTTTTCCAAGCAGAGAACCATAAAAATAAAAGAAACCAAACCAGAAACATGAGCAGAAGAGTGGCTGCTTGCCTGTGTGAGTGTCGAACACGGAAAAGGCGCTTTTGTTGAGAGAGTGATAGAGGGCCTGCAAACACTAAAATTCAACATAAAACCAAAGTCAGGAGATTTTTACAACATTGAATTGATCCTGGAGAGAGGGCTAGATAGAGAAGGAGAGGAAGAGAGGAGAGATAGATTACAATACCTTGCCTCTGCGTAACACACGGTATGAGGTTAGGAGCGAGTGGCCAATTATTGCCTAATTTGATAGAATTTGGCCAAAACTGAGCTCGCCAACTCTCTATAAACTCGCCGAAAAACGTAGCAGTCAGGGTTTGAACTGAAAATCACAAATTTGAGGCACATTTTCACATACATTAAGTGTAGAATATACCTGAGGTTATGAGGAGTTGCTTGAGACCAACCTCGAGGTTGGCCATCGCAGGAATTGTAGGAAACGTCGCCGGAACCCTGAGAAAGCTTCAGCCTGTCCACCTCTTTAAGTAGCAGGACCCAACTTCTCAGTATCTCAAGTTTTTCGGGTGCCCCGCAAGACACAGCTGCTTCCTCCAATCTCTGTATACTCTTCTTCACACTCCTAAAGCTCCGAACTCCCTGTAAACAAATGCAAATGAGAAAAAAAGGTGGAAAATGTGAAAGATGATGGAAATTGTGAAATTACCATTCGGTCCTAGAACTGTTTAGCGGCTTGGCCGGCAAGCTGGACGACGGAGTCAGCGTAGTTCATGACGGTGCAGGTGACATTGTTCTTGTTGCTAACCTCCACTACCTTGTTCACCGCCAAATCCAGCCATGACATTTTCTTTGACTTGTTAACACAATAACAGAAAAAACACAAATCAACAATCCCAAATCACAAATTCTGATGCAATCAAATTAATTCCTACCTAACTACTCATTTCTCATTTCCAATATCCGCCCCCATATCTCAGTTAAACCCTTAAACCATCCTTACAGAATTGGTCAATCTGTTCCTAATTTCTTCCTTCATCCCACACATATGCTCTCTAAGAACTACAAACTCTCATTCCCCATAAATACGATTTCCCAACAATATACTCCCTAAGCAAATAATACTGAAAACTTAAAAATGTCGGGTTGGTACTTTGGGATGCAAGGAATACCAGTTCTAGTATTACCATTTGAGAGAATAATATAATTTTTCAAGGACAAATCATAGAGAAAAAAGATCGAAACAAATGGCTTACCAATTGAGTCAACTCCCTTCTGAAACAAAGGAAGCATGCGAACAGGCAACATACCTGAAAAAAATCAAACGCTAATAAGAAGAAATATTGGAGAATCTAATATACACGAAATATTTAGGATTTTAAAAAATTAAGAATTAAATTATATGAATACAATTCTGAGTGTATCAATTTGAAAATTTTGAAAAGAGCATACCTGTTCTTGGTGGTTGATTGGGTCAAAAAGTACCTGATGTTGTTGAACCCTCAAGAAACCCAAGCAAAATCAAACCATTCCTACACAATTGACAAAGGGGGTTTGGAAAGGACAAAAACTATATCTAATCAAACAAACAAACAGATGAAAGCATGGATTTTTATTGTCTTAGCCACATACCCATCTCGTCATTTGCCTGAAATCCCAATTTTCTACTAATTCACAATACAATGGCATGAATTTATACAAATTGTCAAAAACAATGAGAAAAATTACCAGAAATTTCAAATCTTTTGTGGGTTCAGAGTAATTACCAGAGAGGCGAAAGCAAAAATCAAAATTAGGCCGATTTTTTCAAAACCAGAACAGCTCCGATCGGAGTAATACAGTGCAATTTCTGAAATAAAGGAGTGAGAAAACCCTAAATCCCCAAGAACCATAATTTATAAACCACAAACAAAAACAAAAAGGAGAGACTAATCCTCAAATATGATACCATTCCTCTTTCTCTCTCTCTCTCAACTCTTTGTTAAAACCCAATTATCTCATGGTCAAATTTTTGCTTACTTGCAAAGATGTCTTTAACTTCCTCTAATTATTCAAATTATCTCGTACTTACTCTCTGATATCTACTTAATCAGAAAGCTATGACAATAATACAACACACATTCTTTGGAATTTCGATATGGATATAAATGCGGACTATTTTAATTTTTCAGTTAATCTTTTTTCTTGAGAACTCAAGACGCACAGATTCGGTCTCATCGAAACATAATGGGGATATTAATTTTTCAATGATGTTTCAAGTGTGATTACAAATCCCACATACAATTGTCTTCACGACAGGGGGAGAACAATTTTTACCATGTACCTAATAAATCATGGTATTAATTTCAAAAAAGAACACATATATACCCTGCCCCATAAGGGTTAATAGGTCTCAGTTGCATATGAGGGGTGAAAGATCATATATGCATAAGGCAACTGAAACACGTTCAGTTATTATTTTTGTGATATACTGCCAATGGATTGCCACCCAACATATTTTACATATAATATTTTGATAACATCGCACGGGCATTGCCTAGAAACAGCATACATAATTCAAGGTTATATGAAAACCTATGCCATAATGAATTGAGCAGGAAAATAAGGACTTCCTCATATGAGATATTATTAAACTGGAATTATACTAATAAACCAGGAAATAGATAAGACATTATGGAGAGCAGGAAAATGAACTCACCGCCCCAACAGAAGCCTACAACACCAATTGCAGAAACACCTTTACTTCTTAAAGCTTCAATTACCAGTTTTGCATCTTCGATTTCTTTTGGCTTGTCGATATGAAAACATGAAGATTTGGAGGAAAGAAAAGTTCAACAATTAATCATTCAAATTAGGGGCAAACAATTACAATGTAAAATTAACCTAAAAACTTATAAACAAACATCAGAGAGTCAGAGCTCATTCATGTAAAAGTATTAGAGAGTCACAGCTCAACATTTAACCCATTTTGAGTGCAGCCTTACAATTAATTTTAAGGGAATGAAATATGCTAATTCAAGTGAATAAAAAAAATATAAGTTCACAAAACTTGAAATAACATAATACATAGGCAGAATACTTCGGTTTTGAGGGGCTAATTCCATTGAGCAGTGCCTTCCGTGAAACACGCAACAATCACTAATCAACAATTTAAACCCAAAACAAATCGATTATACAGAAAACCTAGATCGGCCAAGCAGCAAAAACAAATACCCAGAAACTGAAATCAAGAAAATACGAATGCGAGTGAGTGAAAGTTTGGGACTATTTGGGTAAAAAAACCTGAGCTTCTTCGGCCTCCACGGGATCAATGCTTCTGCAACACAAAACTCTGAAACCAACCCGAGATGGCTTCCAGCTGGAACCAAAACTCTGAAACCAACCCTAGGCTTAGCCGTCCCTTCCTGCCTCGCCGTGTCTCTGCGCACACCTTACTGAGAAAAAGCAAAACCAAACTTTCGGGCAGCCCTACCTCTTGCTTTGCTCATCCTACCTCTCCCTCTCTCCTCCAATTTTTCCTTCCAAGACCTTCCCTCTCGGCTCTTCTTTCACGCACGACGCCTCCTCTCTCCTCTCTTCTCTCTCTTCTCTCTGGCATCGCTGCAGGCTAGGCCTGCCCTCTGTCGGGGATTCATCCGAAACACCTAACCACATACAAAACCGACTTAAACTAACCCAGCCACAGCCCAAAGCCGCAAAAGCCCATCCAACTAAACCTAAAAAAAAAAACCCAGCCGAAACCTTAAAGCAATGGCATGTCCGTAAATAAAGTGAAATTTAGGTACAATGAACAGTAAGGAACAGTGCCAATTGCAATGCTTTCTTTAGACTAAAGTAATATGTAATATGTAATTAGTCAAGACATTTTTTATGTAAATCCTAAACTTATAAATAGGCACTCGAATGGGAACAAAAATACATTTTGATTTCTCCTCCCCATCTCTTTCGTTTCTCTCTATATTTCCTTGTTCTCTAAAATATTACCGACAACGAAATGATTATCAAACTAGCAGAAGTCTTTGCCACTAGTCTACAGTATAGTGGCATTCTTCTAGCATTTTCAATATAGAGATGTAAATTTGAGATGTAAAGGTTACATTTATATCTTATTTTGCATTTTTGGAATATGTAAATTTAATGGAGAAATGAAAATTTGAGATTCCGTGTACTTTTCTCTCATGTAGAGGGGTCCATCTCCTGAAGGTGAAAAAAAATTTACATTTTTACATTTTTCAATTAAAATGAGTGTTTCACAAGACTTTCCTACCATTGAAAATGAAAATACTCATTCCAAGATATTTTGCATATTGTTTAGAGATGCTCTTAGTCATTAGCTCATATCTCATAGTGTCTTGACGCAAACCCCCTTCTCCTATAGAAAGAACTAGGAGAATGTCACAAGTGATGCATGTGCAATGAGTCAAGAAAATGAGTTATTTATAAGTGAGTCATATTACTAAATTAGCCCGGGTCCTGTTTCCGACAAGTGAGATTTAAGAAGGAAAATTTTGGGGAATCTCCAAGAGAGAAAAAGTGGGATGTTGTATTTCCAGGATTGGATTTCATACTCAAATGAACCTCATAATCATAAGAAAGTAGGTTTTTTAGCTATGGGCCTATGGTTTCGCTACTATTTCGACACTAAAAATTGTAGGGAAGGTGTTTGATATGCCTCGAAGACAAAAGTTGATTACAGGGTTTGAATAGGTACTTGTGCATGGGAAGTAAATGTATTGCTTCACACTCTTTGGCATTTCCATTGGAGGTTGAAAAGTAATTCCCTATCCATCTTCTCTTTGCTTCTATGATTTTTCTTGTAAAGTAATTTTATTGTTTTATGCAATAAATTTGTTTCGTAAAAAAAAATAAAGAAAAAGAAAGGTGATTTTCACACTTTGCACGCCTATATTTTTTGCAATTGAATAAGTCAAACGGAAACAACAACCATGATTAAATATGTATATGTGTTGAAGGCTAAAAATGATGTGTGTTTATCATTTCTCCTTATCTACTCTGATGTGTTTAAGATTATATTTTATGTTTGTGATATCTTGATTTGGGAGAAAATTGTGACGTTGCATGTGATATCTTTAATAATCTTTTATTACATTACAAGTTGCATATAATTATATATAATTTTATGTTTTAATAAGGTAGATCAAGTGCTGATGAAAACTGGAACAAGTCCACCATGTGCTCTGCCTAACTAGTTTGACTATGTATGCAAAAGTTAGTCCTCATATTGCTGAACCATTCACAGAACAGCTTTTTACTTGTTTTGATTGCTTTGGGTCCCTATTCTGTTAGAATACTTTCACAACCTTGATTCATTTTTTTCGAGCACAGAAACTATGGTAGTGGGAGAGATCCTTCTCGCTGCACTCCTTCAGCTGCTTATCGACAGGTTGGAGCCTCGGGAGATCCGCAGCTACTTTGGAAGCCTACATGGCGGCGTTAGCAAGAGGCTTGCGAAATGGAGGGGATCACTGTATGAAATTGCAGCGGTGTTGAATGACGCAGAGGAGAAGCAACTAACGAGCAAGGCAGTAGAGCTGTGACTGGATGATCTTAGAGACTTGGCTTATGATCTGGAGGACATATTGGACAACTTTTCCACTGACATACTACAACGCAAGGGAAATGAGCAAAATGGTGCTGGCACAAGTAAGGTACGAAGCCTCATCCACTCTGGAATTGAGGACATCAGTCATAGATTACAAGCAATATCTGAACAAAAAGATATGCTCGGTTTAAAATATGTTGGGACGGCAAGTACTAATAAGACTGGAAAAGGCCATCAAGTTCATATGAATCAAGTGGAATACCCGTTGTTGGAAGAGACAATGATAAAGCAAGGATTATTGAATTGCTATCCAGAGATGAACGTCCTGTGAAGTTTGAGGTAGTTGCCATTGTTGGCATTCCTGGAGTTGGAAAAACAACACTTGCTCAACTTGTACTCGATGGAAACAGTGGTGCCATGGATCAGTTCAATCCAAAGATATGGGAATATGTATCTGATGAAATTAATCTTGTATGAGTAACAAGGGGCATTCTTGAATCCGTCACATCCCGACCCTGTCATTTTGAGGAATTCAACAGCACCCAAGAGAGCTTGAGTAAGGAATTAGCTGGTAAAAAGTTTTTACTTATTCTGGATGATGTTCGGAACACATTTGACTATGAACTCTGGGAAAGATTGCAGCTCCCCTTTCGTTCTGGAGCACCTGGAAGTAAGATAATTGTGACAACGCGTGATGCTAAAGTTGCAAGAACAATGGGAGCCACTGAAGTATATGATTTGCAGTGTATATCCCATGACAATTGCTGGAAAATATTTGGGCAACATGCATTCAAGGATATACTGCCAAATTTTGGGTTGCTTCAAGACAAAGTTGTTGCAAGGTGCAGTGGACTGCCCTTAGCTGCAAGGTCCCTTGGTGGTCTTTTAGGTTCTAAAGAGTATAAAGAATGGGAAGAAATATTGAACAATGAGTCATGGAGTTTATCAGATGAAGAGAGTGACATTCTCCCAGTACTAAAACTGAGCTATTACTATCTCCCTTCAAGTTTGAAGAGGCGCTTTGCTTATTGCTCAATATTGCCAAACGGGTACAAATTTGGGGAAACACAATTGATCCTTATGTGGATGGCAGAAGGGTTGCTTAAGCAACCAAAAGAAAGGAAAGATATGGAAGATACAGGAGCTGACTATTTTGGGGAACTATTATCTCGATAGTTATTTCAAAAGTCAAGCAAAGACAATTTAGTGTTTGTAATGCATGACCTTGTTGTTGATTTGGCACGGTGGGCTGCAGGAGAGTTATGTTTCAGATTGGATGATAAACCAGATGGTAGATGTTCTTCAAAAACTCTTCACTTTTCTTATGTTTCTGGTCATTATAATGGAGTTCAAAAGTTTGTGGCAATTTCTGAAGTCAAACATTTGCGTACTTTCCTACCATTTTCACTCTCACATAATCCGCATAATTATCTGAGTAGCAAGGTTACTCATCATTTATTGCCAGATTTGAAATACTTGCAGATGCTCTCTTTTTGTGGCTATCAGATAACTGCTTTGTCGAATTCTATTGCTAAGTCGAATCATCTGAAGTACCTTGATCTTTCTCACACATTAATAGTGAGTCTTCCTATATCCACAAGCACACTTTACAACTTGCAGACATTGATAATAGACGATTGTTCTCAACTAAGGGCACTACCTGCGAAGATGAGGAATTTAACCAATTTACGTCATCTCAAGAATTCAAATGTACCTTTATTGAGAGGAATGCCTCCGCAACTGAGTGACTAATCTGCAAACCTTGCCTAGTTTTGTTGTGGGAAGGGATAGTGAGTCAAGTATAAGAGAGATAGGACCCCTATTGCATCTTAAGGGGACGTTGCGCCTCTCATGATTCGAAAATGTGTTATATGATGAGGATGCAAGGAAAACAAACTTAATTAGCAAGGATAGGCTTGAAACACTGCAACTTGAATGGAGTGACACAAGAGAGAATGAATCTGTTGTGCTTGACATGTTAAAACCCCATGGAAATCTGAAAGAACTCACAATCAAGGGTTATCGTGGCTTGGAGTTTTCAACATGGATTGGAGATCCTTTGTTCTCTAACAAAGGAGTTATTAATGAACGAAGTTGAGGGTAAAATGGTCATTTGACCATAAATCTAGAAGGCTCCAAACTTTGCTGGAGCAATGAGATGGTGCCACGTGTGTTGCCAGGATGGAAGGATGGGAGGAGAAAAGAGGGAAAAGAGAGAGATGGACGAAGGAGAGGAAGGGAAAATGAGAGAAATGATGGGGGGGTGCTGCCCAATCGGGAAGAAAGGGGGAAAGGTACTGACCAATCATGAGAGAGAGCAAGGAGGGGAAAGGAAAGGAAAGTGATATATCGGATCCCCTAACCCGTTTCTCAATCGTGACCCAGTGTTCCTGCGACTTTTTTGACACTTTCACCACGCTTTCCCCAGCCTTTCATGACCAGCCATCACTTGTAAACATCACCTCGGCATCCCTCATGTAATTCCCACCCCAAACTCGATGGAATTTGGTCTTGGTGTCGTGAAAAACCCGTCGATGGGTTTCGTGGGTGCACGGTGGCGATCGGCCATTTCTGCAAGTAACACCGTCGACCATTACCATGGGTCGACTTCCCTTGAAGCCAGGAACAAACCCCAAACAAGTTTAGGGGGGGTGGAGCATCGGAGGGAACGAATCGACAACCACCCATTTATAGGGTTCCGACAATTCGTGGTGATTTTCAGGCCACTTTCCGGCCGAATTGGACTTCGACCCAGGTATAAAAGTTGTTCCTCTCATTGAGATCTTCATTCTTGTAAAATTTAGGAATTTTTAGAATTGTTGAATTTTCCAAAGAGTCGGAGCTACCAGCCGCCACGTGCGGAGGCGCGTGGCCTTCCAGGCCGCCGCCTAGTGGCGGCTCGTGCGGTGGCCCGTGGAGGGAACCCGAGATCCCTCCTTAGGTTTTTCGACTTGCCAAATCCAAATCTGCCGTCCGTTTTCTCAAATTCTAATGTTTTAGTAGAGTTTTACTAAAAGGTCCCAAATTGTGGTTAGGTACATCGGTTGGGAGTGATACCATTCTCGCTAGTTCAAGCGGCTTACGGGCGATGGAATACTTGTGAGTGGAACCCTTCTAAACTACATATTTTTATAAAATTAGCCTAGCTTGCATTTCACATTTCTTGATTTGAATATGTTTTATATTATGCTTTACGAACTACTATATTAATGGTTTACGAAATATCTATGATTTATCCAATTTAGATTTTATTAAAGGCTATGAATTATTGGATTCTCGTATATACAATTTTATGGCTTTCGATTATGCTTTATTTTACGGATTTATGAATATGTGAATTATCATGATTTATGAGATGGAGTTTTCAGCCTTTGAGTTTGGTACTATACTAAATAACATTTTTAGAAATGTTTTTGGTGCTTGTCTAGTGGGTTATCACATAGCACATACACACAACACGGGTATGACATCTATGGCCATAGGACACAGTGGAGGAGCAGTGAGATATATATATACACACACCCCTAGCTTCACCGCCGAAAACGGTGTTGAACAACTTCACTAGCCACAGTTAGTGTCGGTGTGTATGTATGCTCTTTTATTCAGCTTCACCTTCGGGTGATGGACAGGTACTACCTTCGGGCAACTATGATGCCCCTAGAGAGTACAGTATTGATGAGATTTATGGATTTGTCTTCGGGCAATGATTGCACCATTATTGAGCATGGTTTTACGAACGATTTCATGGCATGCTAGGGTTTTCAGAAAACTTACCATGTAGTACTATATATGTGTTTTCAAAACAGGAGGTTAGTATGTTCATAAATAAAATGGTTTCCTATTATTAGTATTATTATAAACTTTGGTCCACTCACCTTTTCTGTTTTTGCGCCCCCCTCATGAGTTAGAGTCAAGGCACACGATCCCGACGTCAAGACATTTCTTCTTAGGCATCTACAAGCGTCCTCTGCGTAGGTCTTATTCCTCCATTTGTACCTTCTTATAATCATTCTTAATTTCAATTAGTTGTATGCTCTGAACACGATTCTATTTTAGTTTAATTCATTCTAATTACGTATTTTTAGTTATGCGTGTTTAAAATGGCTTCGTCACCCTCGGGTGTTGGCCAGCACGTGCCTACCCTAATATTTGGGGATATCAAAGTTGGGGCGTGTCACCGTTAAGTTTTCACCTAAATGAAATTTATTTTGGACTTTTGATCTCATTTTTCACGAGTTTATTCATTTATTTATTTATTATTTCTATAGACGAGAATTTGGTTCCAACTTTTGACTTCTTTTTAATAAGTTCTCTGTTTATCTTTTGGTACGAAAAAAAATATGTTACGTTCGTTTCCTATACTTATGGTGAACTACTAAAAAAATATATTAGGCTCACTAACATGAAGTTTAACTAATTGCAAGCTTTGAAAATTCAACATGGCCAATCATGTTCTTTAAAAACTTGCACATGACTTATTTTAGATGAAAAACTTAACAGAATAATTATGAGATAACAAAGTAATGATTTTCGAATCTTGATGGGACAAATCGCTTAAACTTTTAACTTACATGACAAATTAAAATATATATATATACACACACACACTTCATATGACATTTCAAAAAATTTCCTTTACTAAAACCATGTATGCTACTAATTAACTAGAGTACATGCTCTAATACCATATTTGTTGGAGTAATAGAGTTCAGCGACGTCATATCCGTCAAACGACATAAGGACATTGGAGCACTTTCCTTAAAAACGACATGAGTACACTTTCCTAACAAATTTAGGAAACTAATAAAAAGAAAAAATGTAGACAAATTAGAAACTCTCTTTCAAATTACATAGAAATATCTAAAAAAACCTAAAAAAATATTTAGTAATCCCTATATATACCTACACGATCCATCTATTTTGTTTACTTTTGCAAAACTTGGCAACTCGTTCTGTTTGTTGAGAGTTCAGACTTCTTCGTGTTTCGTGATTTGTGTGCGTACGTAGGTAGAAGGAAGAGTGAAGATCCGACGACAATGGTGAAGTCGGCGTCCAACAGAGAGCGCGACGAACAGAAACCGCGTCGACCCAAAAGCTCCACGAAGCTGCATCACCGAACATCGTTCAAGAAGTCGAAACCAAGCAAGGGTTTCGAGGGTTTTGAGGATGACGTGATGTTTTATATCGAGGAGTTTTTGCCGGAGGCTTCAGAACAATCTACTTCTACTTCTTCCACGGTGATCGATCCAGTTAGTGCTGCCGCTGCTGATGATATCGATATCTTCTTGGCCGACAGCATTGATTTCGCGGCGGAGGGTGTTTTTTATGGGTCCGACGATGATTCTGTTACTAATTACTTGTCGGCATTGTTTGATGATTGCAACGACGTTCCAGATTCGGTACAGAGCTGCCAAGATGTTGATGAGCTGCTGGAACAACATCTTGATTTCCCCTCAATTGGCGTGAATTATTAATTAGGTTTTGTCTTAATTAAAGGGTAGTTTTATGTTGGCTGTTCATATTACCACTAATACTGTTTTTATCCCATTCTTAATTAGTTTTTTTCTATCTTGTACGGGTTTGAGAAAATCTTGGTTAATTTTTTTTAAATTTGTTTCCAAATCCTTACCTACTGCAAAGCACGCAAATTCTTGGAAAAAAAAAATGTAAAATACATGTACGAAATAATAAATTTTACATCTAACAAGTGAATAGGGTTGCGATTTATGGGGTAAATTCTTTACAAGAATTAATCCTCTAATGCAATCTCTAAAAATGTTTGAAAAGACTGTGATCAATGGATGTAGAAACTTGATTTTGATCAAACAGACATCACAAGATTATTTTATGTGGTATGCGGTAATTTTGTTTTGGTGGTAAGGAACCAGCTCGTGTGAGTGGGGCTTGATAAATTTTCACAACTATGATAAAGAATCTAGAAAGTGCTTTTTGAATTTGTGGTGTGGCTGGAGGAAGTTGAAGAAAGTAAAGTTGGAAACTGCAATGCAATTTGGCAGAGCTTTGGAATTTCTTATTGGTTTTCTTTCTCTCGGTGCTTTTAATCAGAAGTTGTATGAGCAACCCACTTGAAGCTTCGTACCCCAATTGTGTGCACATTGGAGCTTTCTTCACAAATTAGTTACAATTGTACACAACAAGAGATAATGCTTTAGGTCCACTTTATCTCTTTGTAGAATAATTTGATTTTTCTTTTGTATAATTGAACTCCCGATTCACACTTGTGAAATTTTGGTGTCTACAAATGTCACGGCTTCAAGGTGTGTAGGAGGTGTGACTTAAAGTTACTCTTGTTTTTTAACCGTCGTACACTCAAGTAGAGTATGTCAAAACTTTTATGAATCAAGTATTTTCACTTCAATAGTCCTTGAATATTGGTACAAATCAAATGATTATCGATATTCATAAAATAATTTAAGGTTTTTCATTTTCTTAAAAAGTATCAATTTGAACCAAAAAAAAAATTAAAACAATTATTATTCCCTAGATTCAAGGGCACGATGGCCTTACAATTTTTATAGGGAACTTCTACATCCAAAATAAATTTTAATTTTTTAGCTAAAATTTGATTTTAAAAGAGAGCATATGATTGGATACCCTAAAGGCTAAATTACATCTATATTCTCTAAAATTCAAACTTGATCTCATTTACTATCTGAAACTCAAATTTAAAAATAGACTAAATGCTTACATATATACTGCATTTAACCCCCGAAACCGTCCAACTCCGTCAAATAATCCGTTAGAACTCTCGCGTTGGAAGAATAGGACCCACTTGTCTTGAGTAGCCCAAAAAAATTAATGAAAAATTTAGAATTAACTAAAAAATTGTTTAGATTGATTTAAAATAAATAAACAAAGGGGTGTGCTATCTACACATCCCTTTTTACTTCTCACACACCCCTTGTTAATTTCTGTTCGTTGATCTTCTTCAATTCATCCGATCCGACGGTCGAAAACCAAAAAGGTGTGGGAGAAGTAAAAAATGGTGTGTGGATATTACACCCTATAAACAAAAAGTCAGCTCGTTGGAAATGGGTTTATTTGACTGGCCCGAGGCTTTAAAGCCCATCCAGTTTCGGCCCAAAAACCCATGGGATCACGCATGAAAACTAACCGCGTGGACTTATTTTATTATTATTTTTTTGTTGGAGACCAACCGCGTGGGGAAGCCGTGACTTGACGACCAAGTAATTGGATTCCGAGTAGGAAAAGGAAAGAGTGTGACACCTCCTGGCTAGCGTAACTAGCATACGTATAAATTCAAGATAAAGAGAGGGTTGTTGGGTATTTATCATCACTGCTCTGAGTCTCTCTGTCCGACCTCTCTTCCCTGCTCCGCCGCCGTTTAGTATCAGTATCCGTCCGGTCAGTTTGCTTTCTTCGAATTTCTTCTTCTTTTTACTCATATTTTCTTGTATTTTGTCCTTCTGTTTAAGATTTTCTTCTTCTTCTTCAGATTATGCGAATTATTGATTAGGGTTTTTTTTTTTTTCTTTCAGCAGTCTAATTTCTTACTTTCTAATATTGTTCCTAACAAATAACATTGTCGAAAGTAAAATATATGCAGTAGAGTCGACATGCATAGCATATAACAGATATTAAACAGTAAGCATCGTGTACAACATGTTCACATAGTGTTTCGATTGCCATCAAGGCCGGCTTTGTATGCAATAAATTTCGAGAATGGGTGGAGTAGATGTGATCAGGAATTTATTTGCAATCAAGATTCATGGCTATAATTGTTTTAATCTTTGGTTGGATCAGTATAACCTAATTTTGTGGCTGGATATCATCCATAAGTTTGTAGGAATGGATTATGAATACCATCTAATAATCTCATGTATATAATTATATGCTGCTCGCTTAATGCTTATTCCTCCCCTTCCAATTTTAATTGCTTGGCTTCCCGTTCGGGTTTTGTATTTGAGTTTTTTACTTTTTCAATTTTTGTTTTTGGAATTTTGGTGGCTTTATCTTCTTCTGATAAATTCAGTTCGATCTTGAAGTCGTCGTGCTAATTGTGTGTGTGTAATGTTTTGTTGTAGGTCAGGCTGTTAATTGTTCGCTTCAACTGTTTTCGTACTCGATCCATCTTCATAATGGCCGATGCTCATGAGACTCCTGATAAGAACATTGAGCTATGGAGAATTAAGAAACTGATCAAGGGACTTGAAGCTGCAAGGGGCAATGGCACCAGTATGATTTCTCTCATCATTCCTCCCCGTGATAAAATACCTCGAGTTACGAAGATGCTTAGCGATGAATTAGGATCAGCTTCGAATATCAAAAGTAGGGTGAATCGTCAGTCTGTTCAAGGTGCAATTACATCCGCTCAGCAGCGGCTCAAGCTCTATAACAAGGTTCCTCCAAATGGCCTTGCTCTGTTTACAGGAACTATTGCTACCGAAGATGGCAATGAAAAGAAGGTCACGTTTGATTTCGAGCCTTTGAAGCCGATCAATGTGTCTCTTTACCTCTGTGACAACAAGTTCCATACCGAAGCTCTGAATGAACTCTTAGAATGTGGTGAAAAATTTGGTTTCATTATCATGGATGGTAAGGGGACTCTTTTCGGGACATTGAGTGGTAACGTAAGGGAGGTTCTTCAGAAGTATCGCATTGACCTGCCAAAGAAACACGGAAGAGGTGGGCAATCAGCTCTTCGATTTGCTCGCCTTGGAGAGGAAGCACGCGACAACCATGTTATCAAGACAGCAGAGCTTGCCAAAAGTTTGTTTATTAATCCAGCCACTAACCAGCCCAATGTTAAAGGATTAATACTGGCTGGATCAGCTGATTTCAAAACTAAGCTTAGTGAGTCGGGTAAGTTTGATCCCCGTCTGCAGGCGAAAATACTGAAAGTGGTGGATATTTCTTATGGAGGAGAGGATGGATTCAATCAGGCTATTAAGTTGTCGGCCGAATTTCTGTCCAATGTGAAATTTATACAGGAGCAGATCTTATTAGGAAAATACTTTAAAGAGGTTAATGAGGATACAGGAAAGTATGTTGTTGGCGTAGAGGACACGCTAAAGGCTTTGGAGATGGGAGCAATTAAGACACTTATTGTGTGGGAAAATCTGGAGATCGATAGGTATGTGTTAAAGAATTCAAAGACTGATGAGATTGTTGTGAAACATTTCGACAAGGAGCAGGAAAAAAATATGAGCAACTTTCAAGATCCTGCCAGCCAAGGAGAGCTAAAGATTCAGGAGAAGATGTCACTGTTGGAATGGTTTGCTGATGAGTACAAGCGTTTTGGTTGTGCTCTTGAGTTTGTCACCAACAAATCACAAGAGGGGTCACAATTCTGTCGAGGTTTTGGGGGTATTGGAGGGCTTCTCCGCTACCAGCTTGATATAAGGTCGTTCGACGAGTTTGGTGATGATGAAGTTGATGAGGATGGAGAAGTTTACGATGTTGAAGAGGCTGCTTATGATTCAGAATAGGAATTACTGAACTTTTCCCCAATGCTGGTGCAGGAAAGCAGGGGTGAAAAAGCCTGCACCAGCGCGCATGGGGCAGTGGCGGCTGCTGCTGCTCCTGAGCGGTGCTCCAAAACAATTTCAGGCTCGACCAAGGTTTGGAATTTTTCTTTCTCTACATCATATTATTAAGTCTTTTGTAACGACTGGTCCTCTTATCATGTTATGTATCTTGAAGGACATTGCATTATCATCTGATTCCGAAAGGCTTACTGTGGTTATTACATCTGGGTCACAAAGAGGTGGGGGTGAAAAAGCCTGCACCAAAGTTACAACTGCTGCTCCGGAGAAGTGCTCCAAAAAATTCTCAGCCCTGACCAAGGTTTATATTTATTCCCCCTCCATATCATATACAACACTATATCTTTTGTAACCACTGGCCGCTTAATCATCTTTTATTTCTTGAAGGACACTACATTGTTATCTGATCCTGAAAGGCTTGATGTGGCGATCATTTCTGGATTACAAACGGGCTGGAGAGACTGATCTATCATTCTGAATGAGGATATTGTGCTAAGAAGAGATTCCTTTGGATGATCAACAGTCAAGACCTTGTGAAGATATATAAGCAGATGAAGGATTGTGGTGATATCAGTAGTGCTTTTTGTTATTTAGTATTGGTGATGGTTTTCTTTCAACTTAAGTTAGGGTTTAAGTGGATTTATGTTATTAAGTTCCATTCTGGCTCATCATTGAGATCGAGCCGAGCTAAACATTTATATTCTTGAACAAATACTATTCTGTCTACTTGTTATGAAATTCTATGGTATTATCTTTCCAGTTACCTTTCTCTTTTGACTTGTTCTCAAGGAGCTTGACATAGGATGTTAGAAATTCAAGCATATAATATGGAATTTCTATAGGGTTATACTAGAGGAATTAACGAATCCTGGACTACCATCTCGTTAGTACGAGCCTTCTTTGTTCGCTAGCACGAGTGCCACCATTTGTAGGACTGTAACATGTGCCCTAGCACGGGGATCAAACCGATGTAGTTCTCACTCGCCTTCTCCTTGTAGAACTGAACTTTAGGGAGAGATATATGTGAAGGGTGTCAGGGAGAAATTCCACTTAGGAATTTCGGCTTGAGGCTGTTTAGAACTGATGCTCTAACCCTCTCCTCATGACCTCTATTTATAGTGATCATGCTAGGCTTGGTGTTGACGGATTGGCACGGAGAGCAATTTTCTGCATTCAAGTTAGCTCAAAACTTTCGACATTCGATGTGTTAACCGATCGTAATTTGAAATCATCTACTTCGTTTTCCGTAGTTTTTAAAGCTCTGTCGGGCTCAGCTTAACACATTTGTGTATTATATGAATTCAGATTGGAATTACATTGCTTCATTTAGTTTCTTGTTATGTACGTTTTCTTGGACTCCTTTTGCAAATTTTCATTGTGTTTTGTTTGTTACAGTAATTTATGTGAGTACTCATTTGCTCAACGCATTCGTGCTTTGGTGAGGGAGAATGGCAATGTTGTAAATAGGTAAGAAATTGGGTGATTTTAACTTGGTATGCCCTTTAAAACTCGCGACTAAAAGGAGAAGAACTTATATGAAACAAGTTCACTGTCACCTAGCGTCTAGATTCAATCATACATTACGAGTAATGCTATTCTTGCCATATTATTATACCATAATTTCTATACCACCTTATGTGGCAACTTACTTGGACATGCCACATCTTTAGTTTTAGTTCTATTATTACTATAATTAACACACTTATTCTTTTAAAAAAAATAATAATTAAAACACCCTAATTAGAATTGATTAGGCCTGACGAATCGTTTTCCACTCCATCTCCTTTCTCCCTCACCCCAATCCTCTCCCTCCTTCCTCTTCAACCTCCTGCAATCTCCATTTTTTTGTCAAATTTTATTTGGTTTCTAACTGATCGTATTTGTTTTCCTTTTTATTGTCATAAAATAAGGGTTAGCTAATCGTTTCATTGAACAATGGCTTTATATGCACCTTTACAAATTTGATGGAGTCAAAAGGAACAAGTTTTCTATCAGATTGAGGGTTATGGCCGGGGTCACTGTTCTTGAAAAATCCTCATATTTATGCTGCAGTTGCTTGCAAATTATTGAAATTAATTATGCTTTTTTTTCCTTTCGCAATTGGCCTTTTGTTTTTGTTTTTTTAATGTTCTTTCTATTTGTTTTGGAAAAGAGGAGGAAGGAGGATGAAGAAGCACAAGACAATTAGAGGAACTTTAAGGAGGGAGGAGGAGATTGGGATGATGAAAAGAGTATTTGAGGACGACTGAACAAGGAATGCAAGAATATGAAAATTGAAGTGTTTTAATTCAATCTAATATCTGTTTCCAAACAAAAACTAATTAAAATTAATAAAATTTATATGGAAATCCAAGTACACTGTAATTAAGTGAGATGGCATGTCCAACTCAACCACCACATAACTACATAAGGTGGTATAAGTTTATGGAATAATAATAGGGAGCTTTAACGAAAAGCACCTGGTACTGTTCACTTTAACGAAAAACCACATTTTTACACTAAAAAGTTAATCCTGGTACTGTTCACTTTACTCTTTATTTTGTCCTTATCATTAAAACTCAAAGTTTTCAAGCCATTTTCATTAGTTTTCCTTAATAGGATATGGTAAAAATAGCATTATACGTTACTATTAAAAATAAATTTGCACATTACAACTCAGTATTAGATACAAAATGCCACATGATGTTTAACCCAATCCTCCTAAGTTGCTCTCAGCTGAAGACACTAGAATGATTATCCGTAAACAAACAAAAAAGAAAGAAAATTCTGAACCCCCACCAACGGGGCAAACCCCCGTCGACACAATACTATTCTCTCTTCAGGCTTTCCTCCTGATACAACGCATCTGCCCGCGCCCACCTCGTGCGTGAGGTCGTATCGAAACCGAAATGGTGCGGGAAACTCGATTGGTACTCACTACCAAATCTTGGAGAGGTTGATTGACAACCGCGAAATGGTGTCGCCGAGTAACTCTGTAAGGTCGGGGCTTTGACATTTTATTCATTTTTACATTGATTTTTAATTTTTCTTTCAAAATAGTTATGATTTTTGTTTTCTTTCTACTTTAAGTCTGTGTGGCGCCAACAGAACATGTCATCACTTAACTGCTCTCCTGTAAAAGAAATTTTCAGTATGCCCGGAACACCAATTGTTATACTACAAATGGTTGGAATTTTTTTTCTTTAAGTATTTAACCACTTGTATTGTGACACTTGGTATAACCATGGACGGATTCAATGAAGGCCCACTGGGGGCAGATGCCCCCACTCAAGTAATTCGTTGGTTAAGCTGCATCCTGCAATTATAGATATACATGCGTTATCCTTGAAGAAAGTATATGTGTCTAATATCAAGCATACCTTCATACTACGTTTACTCTATATCAAATATAATATGAGCAAAAGTGGTCTTTTTCTGTCATTCAAACTGAAAACCCCCCCTCTACCTCAATTTGTCACTTTCCACTACTACTGAAATTTTTGTAACATTACAATTGTGAACATCGTCATTTGAAATCATCCCCATTATCATTTGGTTATAAACCATACTATAATAAGGTCTACTTAGTGTTTTTCAGGTTGCCCCCATTAGAAGAAATTTCTAGCTTCGTCTCTGGGTATACCCAACTGTCTGTAGTACTTTGGAAGGTATTTCGAAGGTACGAAATTGAAAGAATAGTTAGTAAGATGCCAATTGTTTCTAATGACTGATAAAAAAATGCCAATTGTTTCTGTTGACATAATTTGTTATTAGAACATTACAGAGAAATGTTATTTGGATCCTCCAAATGATATAGCCTAATTGGTGATGGAATTGAAGGGTGAGGGGTAATGATAGAGAAATGAGATAGGTTTGGTTTTCAATTTCCTTGAATAATCAGCAAGAAATGCTGTAGTAAGAGAAACCTAACAGTTGTTGGTCTAGCGATCAGGTCCTTGGTTTGCTCCCAAGTGCTCTAGGGTTCGACTCTTTCCCACTATACCCGCCTAGCAAAATGCTAGAGTTTTTCGCTTCCCAAATGTTATAGGGTCAGGGGGGGCCTAGTGATTAGTCGAGTCAAAGACTCAGATACACTAGTTTAAAAAAATGCTATAGTAATAGATCGAAACTAGCTGGAAGTATGAGTAAATCGAATAGTCAAAGGATAGCCTAAATGGTGATGGAAATGGAAGGTAAGTGTGTTCTTTGACCCTTTCAATGCTGACTGATATATAAGTCCTAACAGTTACCTAAAAGGAAAAGCAAGGTGAGTGTGTTCTTTGATCGAAATGTTGATTACGTACAGTTTTGATTAAGTCATTAAACGCTGTAACCGAAAACAGATCAAGTTATTATATACAAATTCGACACAGCTTCCTTGTCTGCTGTCTTTGATTTGTTTATGCAAAGTCTTCTGTGCAAGTCTGGTCTGTTTATCTGCTGTCTATACTTTTGTTTATACAAAGTCAATTGCATAGATGCGGTGGCTTATTCAGCTTGTTATATTACCTGACAGGGACAGGGAACAACTAAAGCCCGAAACATAATAAAAAAGGGCAACGATATTCTTTCAAATGATTTAAGTAATGAAACTTGCAATGAACATGGCCGTCATAAGTTGTACTGTGCAATTTTCAGTGCTCAATGTTGTTATTTCAAGCTTTCTCTTGAGAACGCTTCACTTCTTTTGATTGTCTGATTCTGTATTCTCTTCACTTTTACAAACTGTGTTTGCTTTCTTATGGACAAATCCAACTATGGCAGTTGGAGATATCTTTCTAGCTGCATTCCTTCATGTTCTGCTCGAAAAGTTGGCCTCTCGCGACTTCCTCAACTTTGCCTGCCTAGGAGGAATCGACAAAAAGCTGATGGAATGGAGGAAAATATTGTATGCAATTGCAGAGGTGCTGAATGATGCGGAAGAGAAGCAACTAATCAGTGAGGCAGTCAAATTATGGCTGGATGATCTAAAAAACTTGGCTTATGATGTGGAGGACATACTCGACAAGATTTCCACTGAGATGTTGCGACGCAAGCTAAAGGAGAAACAACGGGCTGGCATAAGTAAGGTACGAAGCCTCATTCCTAAAGTTAAATTGTTGCAATTTAGTATGAACTCTGAAATAAAGGAGATTACTCAACGGTTACAAGAAATATCTAAACAAAAAGATGAGCTCGGTTTAATATACATTGGAACAACAACTACAAACAAGGCATGGAGAAGGCCCCCGAGTTCATCTGTGTTAAGTGGAGTACCCGTTGTTGGAAGAGATGATGACAAAGCAAAGATTATTGAACTGTTGTCCAGAGATGAGCCTGCTACTGTCAATTATGATGTAGTTGCCATTGTTGGCATGCCTGGTGTCAGGAAGACAACATTTGCTCAAGTTTTGGTCAAGGAAACCAACGATACGATGATACAGTTTAATCCTAAGGTATGGATCTCTGTGTCTGACGACTTCAATCTTGTAAGGGTAACAAAAACCATTCTTGAATCCATCACATCTCAACCCTGCCATTTTGAGGAACTCAATAACGTCCAAGAAAGCCTCAGTAAGGTATTAGAAAGTAAAAAGTTTTTACTTATTCTGGATGATGTTTGGAGCACATGTGACTATGATATGTGGATGAAATTACAGTCCCCCTTTCGTGCTGGAGCACGTGGAAGTAAGATTCTTGTGACAACACGTGAAGCTAAAGTTGCAAGAACAATGGGTGCTACTAAAGTTCATAATTTGCAGTGTTTATCTAATGATGATTGTTGGAAAGTATTTGAGCAACATGCATTCGACAACAACAATGCTCTGCAGCCAAATTTTGTGTTACTTCGAGACAAAATTGTTGCAAGGTGTGGCGGTCTGCCCTTGGCTGCAAGGACCCTTGGTGGTCTTTTACGTTGCAAAGAAATTGTTGAATGGGGAGAAGTTTTGAACAACAAACTATGGAGTACATCAAATAAGAGTGAAATACTCCCGGTATTAAAATTGAGCCATCACTATCTCCCTTCAAATTTGAAGAGGTGCTTTGCCTATTGCTCAATTCTTCCAAATGACTATGATTTTGCGGAGAAGCAATTAATCCTCCTATGGATGGCAGAGGGTTTGCTTCAGCTACCAGAAGAAAGAAAAGAAATGGAAGATATAGGAGGTGACAATTTTGCGGAGCTGTTATCTCGGTCATTATTTCAAAGGTCGAGCAAAGCCAATTCACTATATATAATGCATGACCTTGTTGGCGATTTGGCAAGGTGGCTGCAGGAGAGTTATGTTTTAGACTCGAGGATAAACCAAATGGTACGTGTTCTTCTAAAACTTGCCATATTTCTTACACTTCTGGTAACTATGATGGGATTAAAAAGTTTGAGGCAATTTCTAAATTCAAATTTGACAAGCTTGAGGCATTTTCTGAAGTCAAACGTTTGCGTACTTTCCTACCGCTTCCACTTTCAGATGATCCGCATAATTATTTGACTAGCCAGGTTATTCTTCATTTATTGCCAATTCTGAAATACCTGCGGGTGCTCTCTTTGTACAGCTATCAAATAACTGAGTTGCCGAATAATATTGGGTAGTTGAACTATATGAAGTACCTTGATCTTTCTCACACATTAATAGTGAGCTTTCTGGAATCAACAATCAAGCTTTACAGCTTACATGAAGAATTTGACTAATCTACGTCATCTCAGCTATTTAAACATGCCGGCTTTGCAAGGAATGCCTCCACAGCTAAGTCAATTGACTAATCTGCAAACATTGACTAATTTTGTTGTGGGAAAGGGTGGTGAGTCAAGTGTGAGGGAGATTGGGCCCATGTTGCTTCTTTGAGGAACATTGCGCCTCTCAAGATTAGAAAATGTGATCGATGTTGAGGATGCAAGGAAAACAGACTTAATTAGCAAGGAAGGGCTTAATGCATTGCACCTGGAATGGAGTGACAAAAAGGAGAACGACGAAGGTGTGCTTGACATGTCACAGCCACATGGAAATCTAGAGGAGCTCACCATCAAGGGTTATGGTGGTATGAAATTTTCAACATGGGTTGGTGATCCCTTATTCTCTAACACGGTGCTTGTAAGGTTAGAGAATTGTAAGAATTGTGGATTCTTGCCACCACTTGGGCAATTGCTTTTTCTCAAGGAACTTTATGTAAGTGGAATGCCAGGAGTGGAAAGTGTGGGACATGAGTTTTATGGAAATGGTAGCTTTTCGTTTCCACGGTTGGAGACTCTTGAGTTTGAGGATATGCAACGATGGAAGGACTGGTTTCCTTGCCAAGGAGATCAAGGAATTGAAGTGTTTTCTAGCTTGAAAAGGCTCTCCATCAATAGGTGTCTCAAATTGGAGGGTAGCTTACCTGAAAACATTGGTTCAATAGAAAAGCTTGAGATTATTCAGTGTGACAAATTGGTGGCTTCAATTGCAGGCTACAAACAACTTTCTACGTTACGTGTTCAGGAGTGTAAAGGAGTAGTGTGTGGAATTAGGGTTGACTTGGAACAGCTCAAGGCTATTACTCTTGCATATGTTCCAGAGTTCAGATTTCAAACTAAGGGATTCATGACAGGATTAAGGAAGGTTGAGAAGTTGACCATTGCTGAATGTAATGACCCAGAAGTCGAGTGCCATATCTGATTTCCCTTCGCAATTTGTGTATTTCAACAGACTCCAAACTTCAACAGTTGCATCAGTTGGCATCACTTCAAACACTTTACATGTATAAATGTCAGAGTCATCTTGTCTTGAAAGAGGAGGAAGAGGAGATAGAGGGGTCTTCGTTATCTTCTTCCCATTGTCGGAGGAAAGAGGAGGCATCTTGTCTTGAAACTATGGCGATAGTGGACTGTCCATCAATAACTTCCTTTTCATCCAAAGGACAGTTATCTTTACCAGCTCTTAAACACCTTGAAGTGAGTAATTGCTACCAACTGGAGTCAATAAGCGATAGCTTATTGTGGGATAACACTTGTTTCGAATTCATTGATATCTATGATTGTGAAAACCTTAAATCCCTACCCAAGGGCCTATGCCACCTGACCAGTCTTCGGTTTTTCTATCTTTGAAATTGTGGAAGTCTTGTTTCCTTCCCCAGCGGAGGGTTTCCAACAAGAGCCGCCAACCTTTTTTACATTGCTATGGCCACTTGCTCGAAATTGGACACCCTTCCACATGGCATGAACCTCAACTCTCTCGAGAAATTGTCAATTGCTTACTGCAACGGTTTGACACCCATTCTCGAACAGGGTCTTTCCTCAAACCTTACTCATCTTACAATTTGGAAGCCTTACAATTGTAAGCCCCTCTCCCATTGGGGGTTGACATTGAACAGACTCACCTCTCTTAAGGAGTTGTGGCTCAGTGGTGTAGATCTTCGTCTGTCCTCTTTTCCTCCAGAGGGAGAAGAGATGCTGCTCCCAAAATCTCTCATAATACTCAACATTTCAGACTTCCCAAATCTGAGGCACCCATCAAGTCAGGGCTATCGATTCCTCACCTCTCTTGAATCTCTTGAAATCCGTGATTGCCCAAAGTTAGAATATTTTCCAGAGGATTTAGCCCTTTCACTTACACAACTCCGCATATACGATCACTGTCCAGTGCTAAGAAAGAGATATAAACCAGGTAATGCAAAAGACTGGGCCATAATAGCTCACATCCCCTACATAGATATTGGGGACTTGCCATTAGAACAATGACAGCGTGCATCCTTGATCCCTCCAGGTACGTAGTCCATATTTCGAGAAAAATCAAAACCTTATTTGCTTTCAACACATTTGTATCACATGTTTCTAACTTTAGTTATGATTGTGTCTTATTATAGGGAGCTAGGAGGACATCATAACGCTCAAACAATTGGAGTACAAATTACACCAGATGCACCCGGTAATTTTATTCTTTACCAAATAAAATGACAAGTGCTCTGTTGGATTTACAAGGTTACAAGGTTCTCAACTACTTGTTTGTTAGAAGAAAATACGATTGAGTTGCATCAGCATATGCCTAAATATGATTGAGTTGCATCAGCATATGCCTATTCCTGTTTATATCTGTATCTGGATCTCAATAGAAAACCTGAAGGGGCCTTTTTCCTTGATGCAGGATCAAACTGAGGTGAAGTGTACATATGCAATCTAACATGCTCCGTAAATATCACGCATCCCACAGAGTTTGCACTTTCTTGTCTAGTTCCAACCCGTTCCATCATTATTCTTTCCTGCAATCTCTGTGTTCACGTCTTGCACATTCGAGTAAGTCCAAGCTTTACGTCAATGCCATGGTCGATTATATGGTCAATTATACCTTGTAACATTTTATGATTTGAAAAACTTTAATCCTACTTTTTGGCACCCTTCTGTTTCTCTCTTTTCCCCCTGGATTTCGTGTATTGTATATGTAGTAAACGTTCGTGTATGTTGTTTGCAGATATAAAAGGTGCTGGTCGGTTGTACAAGGATGAAAAAGCGGTTAAGCAATGGATCTTCTCGTCTTTCACTAATGTGAAGGTAAAAGAAGTCCCACACTGTGAAGGTAGTAGTATTTTTCCTCACTACCATATCAAGACTTCAGGCATCCCTATTTTATTGCAGTTCGCCATGCGGACTACTGAAGATCAATGGAGTATTTCGAATGCGCTTGGCAATGTGAGGGTGCTGAGTTTGTGTGAAGAATTTAGCGACAGCATAAAACTGGATTTTGGAAGATTGCTATGGGATATAGAGTTGATCAAGCTAATATTTTTTGGTGGGTTCAGTCTGGTCTTCTTTCACTTGAGTGAAGCCAAGCTTGTACAGCCAGTCTTGATCCATGAACGGTTGTGAAAAGTGCTTCTAAAGAGAATAAGTTCGTAGGGGAGGCCAAAGGAGAGAAGATAATTTACGTGAGTGGCTAGGGTATTTGCAGCAGCAAGTATACAAGGCATGCGATGCTTTTTGGTTTCGATTGGTGAGGGAAATTGAGTCCGGGCCGACACCTTTAGAGGAGAAAGAAAGTTGTTCTTGTGGTTTTTTAGGCAATTACTCACTCAAAGATATTGGTGTTAGTACATTTGGTTTTAGCTTTGTGGCTTTTAGGGGAAGAGAATTGGTATGTATTTATCTTTCTCCATTTGTTCTTTGTTTGAGTGAGAGCTATTGAGTCGAGTGTGTAAAATTCGGGGTTTGAGAGTTAAAACTCTATTTGTAATCTCTTTTTTATTATTAGTGGAATTTCCTTACCGTCTCCGAACTGGATGTGGGCTTATACCGAACCAGTATAAATCCTCGTGTTATTTTGAATTGTTTGTTTTGTCGTATTTTTTTGTATTAGTTCATTAGTTTTATATTTAACGCTTCCGCACGACAAGTGGTATCAGAGCTCTAGGTTTCGACTTGGGGCTTTGCACTAGTATGTCTATGAAACTTTTAAATATGTCAGTGAAATATGATATTGAAAAATTCAATGGAAGGAATGATTTTTAAGCCTTTGGTGTGTGAAGATTCAAAATGTGCTAGTTCAACAAGGGTTGCTTAAGGTGCTACAGGGTTTGGAAGCCTTGCCAAAAGATTGGTTTGATAAAGAAAAAGAAGACGATTTAGACCGAGCACATAGTGTAATCATGTTGTCACTGTCTAATGAAGTTCTTCATGAGATGGATGATGAGACTACTACAGCTGGTTTACGGCTTAAGTCGGAGAGTATTTAAATGACCAAATTCCTCACCAAATGGTTGTTTTTGAAGCAATGTTTGTACACTCTCCGCTACACATGAAGAATCAAGAGTATACAAGGATTCTTTTGTTATGGTTTGTGAAAATTTGCTTGGTAGCCTCTATGTATATTAGTGTTATGTCAGTTGCCTCTTCATCAGTTTTTTTGTTTGGGGTATTGGTATGGTTTTGGCTTTTAGTAGAGTACTCGGTGAGGACATTATGCCCGAGATATCTAGTAATCTTTCTGTTTACCAAAGCCAAACCACATTTTGTTTGAACACCAAGAAAGATGCACTGGTAATGCCTAAATACCATGTTAAATATGGTGTTTCTATATTTTTCGTTTGTGCTTCGGCTTATGATCCTGTGTTTGGTTTGTGGTCCAAGTTGTAGCATCATGAATTTCTTGACTATAACGAACATATGGCAATGGGATGATCGGAAATAGCTGCCGGAAAATGCAACGAGCAATCAAGAAACTAAAACGCAACCTGTAATCAAGTGTCTAAGCCACTAATGACGTCCATCCCACAACATTACATCTTAATTCATTTGCATGCTAATATATCGTAAAGATCGACTAAGATACAGTTGTGTCAATGCTACAGAAGGATTTCACCTACTTCAGAAACAGTCAGCCAAAAACATGTAGAGTTCCTATGGTTTCTGCGTACATTTGGGACTCTACAGAAAAACTCCGACAAGCACCACCAAACATCCTCACACGGCGCAAGTGTGGCTGTTGATGTAGTCATCACTTGCAGGCTCACTAGCTACCAGAGCAGCATAATCTGAGGTGTATTGCGGCGTTCATGAGTGGCATTCATACAACGAAAGGACTGCGCTTGACTCGAGTATATTAGCAGATTTGAAGATTACACCAATATAAAATCCAAATGGGACCACTGTTAAGCACTACTCTTCCAATTCTGTTTCATCAGAATTGCTTTCGGGTGGCACGCTAGCTTTAGCATCTGTCTCCCCATTTGAATGGTTCTTGAATAATGATTCTGTGTTCTGCCCATTGCCAACGACACCACCTTTAGTGTCTTCTTCCATATTGCTTCCATGCTGGGCATTATCGTCTGGTGCCCCTTCGGAAGTTACAGGCATATCTGTATCCATGGGATGGTGCACATCTGTATCAATCGGAAGGAGTTCACCTACCTGACCTGAATAAGGCATGTACTGATGAAACTTTACCTGAAAAAAAAAAAAAAAAAAAGAACCAACAAAATTCCAGTCAATTATTAAATTTTGAGTTAAATCGCATGCACCTTTCACTCTACTGAACACAAATAAAAAATGGCACGGTGATGGAAAGTCAAATTTGTTGAAATTTAGCAAATACAGACATAAGTGAAGGCTTAGAAACGTATAAATAATATATTTTAAAATTGGGGGGTAGTTAATTTTAAGGGCATCAGATATAGGGAGATGACCCCGACGATGTTTAAATAATGAATACATACGAAAGTGAAGGCTTAGAAACCTTGAGATTGCAATTCATATTAGGAGACCAACTTATAAGTTGATTTTAATTGCATGGGATTGAAATTCATAAATATGGATGATACACTTACGCAGGTCCAAAGGGCACTCGACCAATCAAAATATTTTTAATATTTACCCGCTCACCATCTGCTCCTCAAATCAAAATATGACGAAAAAGGAAAATTGAATGCACCACAGGAAAGCATACCTCATAAAGCTGCTGGTAGATACCAATCATCTCATCAACACTGCTGACAAGATGAATAGGACCAGTTTCTTCAACGTGACGCTCAGTGTTTGATGTAATCTCATTCAAATTAAGGGCAAGGTGATCAGGTCTCTGAAGTAGACGTTGAAATGTAGGCTGAAGTTCATAGCATTGTTCAAACAAAGAACGACGGCAAAACACGTAAAGACCCAGTCGGGCACGAGACATTGCAACAATCAATCTCCTAACATCACGAAGGTGACCCACAATGCGAGTACGCACAAGAGAGAGCAGTATAAAATCATTTTGCTGACCTTGAAATTTATCAACTGTTGTAACCTGATAACAGTGCACAATTAAAACATTATTTTACAAATGAGATCACAAAGGTCAACAGAAACAGTAGTTTACTAAAGCCATCACACAGCGTAAAATTGCAAAGTTAGCAGAGCTAATGGGTAAGGATGAATGAAACTTATTTCTGACAGAGAACTGTCAGAAAGCCCAAAATGCCTTAACAATACCATATAAGACACTTTACAGGTCCCTGGCCATTTGTTCCAAGGGATCAATGAGAACTAAACTAGCCTACAGAGACACCAACTTGCTGACAGACCTTTAGATTTCACAAATGGACTGTTCGATTCTTATTTCTTTAACATCTACTACGTTTGTATTTCATTAGTGTGCCTGATGTTCAATTTGATACATTCGCATTCTAACGCATTTTAAAGGTCAATGACATCTGCAAATTGCATAGTGAAAGTGGTGATCTTATTCTTACCTTGCTGGGAGGGCCTATGAAGTCATATGGAGCACAACGTCTGTTGATAACATCGCGGATTAAAAGCTTCTGGCCATTGTAAGTGGTCAATATGGAGATTTTGCTTGCCGGGTACCCAAGTAGACGCATATAAATATAGACACTGACAATGTATTCTGCTTCCCCCACATTTTGGAAGAAATAAGGTGAAGGTGTAGACTCACCTCTGCCATTGTAATCTGGCACATCCACCAACTGGTATTCATAGGAAAATCCAGAATTTGCTCTATGAAATATGGCACCCTCCTTTACATATGGAAGGTCACCCAGATCTCTGTATCTCCAGTTGTACAGTTTGGCTATACTTGGCCTGGCTCTACCCTGGGCATTAAGTTCAATATAAGGAATGCCCAATCGGACAAACCTAGTAAAGAGACTCTGATCCATGTGGCTGTATTTTTGGAATGCTATATTCTTAACAACAGGAGGCAACTGGTGATGATCACCAATCAGGATGCAGCGTTTAAGCCGAGCATAACCATCTTCCTGCCTCTGGAGCAACATTGGTATGAAAGTTTCAATCTCCAAAATTTGAGCACTTTCTTCCATGAGCAAGTTGTCATACTTGAAACCTAACTCAAGGAAATCCTTTCTCTTTAGAGCTGCATGAGTGCATGTCATGGCAACTATCTTTGCCTGCTTGGTCATCAGGTAATTTGCTCGATCAGCAGTAGACTTCAGTAACTCAAACGCCCTACACTCTTCAAGCTCTTGAAACATGGTCTTCAGATGACGAAAGCAACCCTTGGCTGCCCGCATATCTTTCTCAAATGACTCACCAGTAAAGACTGGTTTCGGTGTGTTGGAGAAGAACTCCTTGAAGGGAAAACGATCTTTAACAAATGACGTTTTATCTTTATTCTCCTTACAAGCAGCAAGGAATTGCTCCCAATGCGAGTAAACATGAAGCAACCAAAAGTACCCAGCAGTTTCACATGTATAACCTACATCCTCAGGCAACTGGAGTGATCTAGCCAGCCTCTCCACTTCACTTAGCAACTCTAAGCGCCGCACAAGCATGGCATTGACACGGCCTTGTCGGCTGAAGTCCAGATCAGTTGCTAGCTCTTGCTCTCCTTGCCCAAGTCGAAGAAGATAGCGTGCAGGCACATCCCTCTAAAACAGCAAACAAGGAAATATTAAAAAATTGTGACAACATAGAAAATAGCTATAGGCAGGAATTAACACCCTAAAAGATAGAAATATGAACCTGCATAATCTTCTCAAAAAGGTCATTTAGAGCCTGGTTTGAATGAGTAATTATCAATGTTCTCTGAGACGGACAATTATGATAAAGAACATTCAGAATTTGGACAGCGGTATCAGTTTTTCCTGTACCAGGTGGACCCACGACCATTGTTAGTCCTGGCTGAATACCTGAGATGATTGCTCCGACCTACACAAGGATGATTAGAAATTATTAATACAAAGACTAAATGGCACAAAGATTGCTTCCTAATTAAAAGTTTGTTACTTTAACTTCACGAGTAACTAAAAGATGTGAAAAATATCTAAAAGTAGAACAACCTACAAATTCCTATATCGTATATAGTGTTACCATGTGATTTGAACAGAATCATTGAAACTGTAAAAGAGCTTAATTACCTATACCTTAATAATATAGTTTCTTATTATTGGTTTCTTATTCATCCAAGGATTTTACGTCAATTTTACAAGTTGGTATATTGCAATAAAAGAAAACAGACTGTACATGATCATAATATATAGCTGCACAAGGTAAAAAAAGGAATAACTACCTGAGTGGGTGTAAATTTAACAGAGTTCTTCCTTGGCTGATCTTGGGGATACGGACCTGGGTCAGGAGGTGTGTATGCTTCAACAACAATTTTTTCTTTCTCACTATCGGAATTATCCATGGGGACATCATTAGTAGATTTCTTATTCCCTGGAAGAGCATTGGTGTTGCTTCTCATTGTCTTGGGAAGTGTTATTCGAAAAGGAGGCCTTGGATTCAAGTTTTCTGTGCCATCTGGACTAATAAAACA